TTCCTTATCTTTATGGCCCTCGGAGAGAGATTGTGGGGTATGAAAGGAGCACGGAGGTTACGGGTACTGGTGTTTGGGCTGAGGGAGAGGAAAGGTCAGCTCTCCGAAATACCCGGTCTGGTTTTATCTGGCTGGCAATACGGCAAATTGTGAGGAAAACTACAACCCTGAGGCCTGAAAGATGCCAGTGTTCGCCTCGGACGTAGGCTTCTCCTCGTCGCGAGGGGCGAGCAGCGCGACACCGCATAGTTCCGAGCTGGCGTCACGGCAGCAGAGGCGGTGAACTCCAGGAATTCCTGACAGCCCAGGACATTGTGGTTTCTCCAATGAGGTGGGCAGGCTTTCACGAAAATATTGACACCGTTGTCAGTGGGCTGGGGCTCGGTTGTCGTGTCCTTCGTGGGAGCCCTCGGCCGAGCTGCGTGGCGCCGCCGAGGCGAGGAGGAGGTTGGCTGGCTCTTGGGCTTTTCGGACCCTTTTGCCTTGGTGGTTTTGTTTTTTGTTTTTTTGGTCCTTTTGATTGGTTTTCAGTTTAGCTTTGTCGCGTTGCTTCTTGCTTTGGGTCTCCCTGTGTTCCCCTGGGGTCTGTCACGTTTCTTCGCCGACATGCCGGAGGAGTGGGGCTGAAGGCCGCACGCGGCAGTGAAGGAGGGCAGCAGCCAGGCCGGTCGCCAACGTGGCCTTAAAATCTTTGATAAGAGTAATTGGGATGAAAGCCTTCCATGAAGTCAGTGCTTTTACAGCTTCTGGTAGGGGGCAGCTTCTCGTGGGGGGCTGTCGTGAGGTGAATAATCCCCGGCTGTGGTGTTTCATCAAAGTGCTTTGAGGAGATGCGGACCGTGGAAGAGGAAAATGTGAAGGAAACGCAAGCAGCTTTGCTGCCTGCCAGACGGGAGCCTGCTCGTGTAGCTTTGAGAAGGGTGTTAGTGCAAAATAAAGAATGCTTTCTTATAAAATAACAAAAAAGCCTCTCAATAATAACCCGTCACAAATTGACTTCTTGCGCGGGCCGCGGCTCGCTGGGCAGAGGCGGCGGGGCAGGCGCGAGAGCAAAGCCCCCAAAACCCACATTCTGTGGTGACCAAACTGTGTTACGGTCAAATTATTCCCGTGGAAGTGAATTTCCACACTTGAAGGCAGAGCTGACTGTGAGGGAAAGGGAATAAGGCACTGCACCCATCCCTCCACCACCCCTCCATCTCGCTGCTGCTGTTTGCGTGCAGGGACATGGCCCAGAGGCCAGCAGATTGCAGAAATGGGTAACTCCTATCCCCTGGGAGTCTGGAAATCCAGCTGGGTGTAGATTTTGCAGTGTTCCCCCCAAATACGCTGGCTGCTGGGTGAATACACTGGCTCCCGATGCCCCGTTCCGGGCGGTTTTACCGACGGGGTGCCAACAACAATGTGCAATTGTGAGCTTTACAGCACACTGTTTATTCAAACAGAAATCTTTCTGAGGATTTCAGTGCGAATGAGGCACTCTTCTTCCCCGGAGATCTATTCTGGGCCTCGATGCAAGTTTTTTGGGAAGGATGCGAGGCCTCGTTGATGCAAGGCCAGCCCTGTAGATGTAAATCCTTCCCGGGCAGAGCTGCCTCCGCGTCCCAGCTCCCACGGCGTGGTAGAGGTGGTGTCACCGATACCCCATCTGCAAAGAAATGGGAGTTTTGTGAAGTTTTGAAGGCCTCAGCGAGGTGAGCGTGACGGCCACCCCGTTGCCGTTCTTCCTTAGATAAATCGTTGCACGTAAATGTGTCTGCTGCTTCCCAGCGCGCTGCCAAGATACCGCAGGTACATAGCCCATGGGGCTGCGTGTAATAGGCGATGGCTTTGGGCCCGGAAAGCTGTTTACAAAGCATTTACCCCAAGGTGCCTGCCTGCCTGGCACTTGTGCTTGCTTTATCCGAGCACCGATCCTGTGCCGTTCGGGCTGCAGCGCCGTGCCGGTGCCAAAAGCGGCGAGAAAGCCTCTTGCTTCTCGCCAAAAAGCGATTTGGAGGAGATGATAGGGCCTTATCACAACAGGGGGATCACTGGGAAGCGCTGCTGCCTGGTGTTTAAATGTGATGACTGTTTTGAAACTGAAGAGCGTGGTTGGATTTGGAGCCTCGCTGGTCCCGGGCTGCGCGAGCTCCCCGAACGCCTGGAGCTGGTTGTGCTCCACGCCGTCGTTTTCCACCCAAAACAAGACTTTTATTGGTTTGAAGGGCTCAGAGTTACTTGCTCTCAACTCCTTCTCATGCCTGAAAATGCAATTAAGGGGAACACGTTGGCTTTCCACAGTCCTAAATTAGCGCCTTGCTGCCCTGCAGCCCCACGGTGAAATTAAACGAGAAAAACTTTGGAGGGTGCGCAAGGCTTGGAAATGCCTCGGAGTCGGGTAGGGGCTGGGGGCTGTCTGCTAGGAGGGAAATAGAAGGATTTTGGGGACAGTGGCTTGTCCCAACGCACCCTTTGTGAGTGTCTCTGGGTATTGGGAGCTCCCCTTCCACTCGGCGTGGGTGAGGAGGGGACCTCCAGGGGACGGGTCCAACCCAAATTCCTCCCTTCCCTCCCGTGGCCAGGCAGTGTGCGGGGAATCGTTCTAATTTAAGCCTCTGCGAATTAAGGCAATTTGGTTTTGGCTCTTCACCAGTGGAAACGGGGAGGTTTGGACGCCCTCCTTGTGACGGGAGCGCCGTGGATAGCAGCGGGAGACAGGGCTTGGGACATTCAGCTGGTGCTTTGCACAACGCCTTAAACAGCCAAAGCTTCGGGTGTGCAGAGCACTGCTTCTGAGGGCATTTTTTTTTCTCCTGGAATGGCTTAAAATGTAAATATTTGGAAAATAGTGTTTCCTCACTGAGCGCTGATTATGAGGTGTTTCTGGGATGGCTTAAAGAAATGGACTTTATGATAATGAAAAAAAAAACCCTATAAGATGGAATTTGATGGCTTTCTTCTTTATTTAGCGGTGTCGCCACCTCTGGCTTCGAGAGCAAGCGGGGTGGCTGGCTTGTGGGATTTGCATGTGTCCACATGTGCCTAGTGGAGAAATAGATGATTTCCAACGTGATTTTGGGATCGTGTGCCACCTGTGGGGTCGGGAGAGATGTCCGTGCAGTGGGGATGCTGTCCTGGACCTGCCTGGCTTCCTGAGGAAGATCAAAGCGTGAATATTCATGGATTAATTTGCTTAATTCCTGCGTCCTGCAAGTAACGGTGGAACCGCCTGCCTCTCGGGCCCGTGGGCTCCTGCCGTTGCACCCCGGTGTCCGTAACGTGGCGAGGAAGCTGCTGGCGGATTACAGCCAGTGCTGGAAGCTGCCCTAATCGCATCGTAAACGCCTACGTGCGCTCACACGCACGCATGTACGGGGGGATTTTGGCCTGCTTGACACCTGTGGGACTGACCCTGCCTGCTCCAGCCGTACCCAGAGCGATGCCGGCAACGCGTGGAGCTGCCTGGTGTGTAAAAAGAAGCATTTACTCCTAAAAAGGATCCCATTCAGCGAGGGACCGGGGATCCCGTTCGGTGAGGAATGTGGGATTTGAGGATTGCCTTGGGATGACGACAGCCCCGAGATCGCTCCGGTGATAAATGACATCAAGGAGCTTTTCTGTGTAAGGAGTGTATGATTAGAGAGCGTGGATTTAACCAACAAAGCCAGGAAATTCCCGATTAAAGCTCGTGTTTCACTTGCTGTGCTTGGTTTGGGAGTTGGTGCCGTTAGGGACTTCGCCCCATCTTTAGGAATAATCCTCACAAGCGGCGGTTTTGAGGCGCCAGCGGAGAAAACGGGTTTGCTCATCTGTGCAATGCTGAAATTCCCTCTGCTGCTCTCAGGATGGCAACGCCGCTGTCAAGCAGCCTTACGTGGTTTTTCCCCTCTTACTCACGTGCCAGATTTCAGCTTAGGAGGAGTTTTTTCCAGCAGGTCATGCTCCTTGACAGTCGATTTCTCTTTTTTTCCACGATAACCCTTTAACTGCAGGATCCCGCTGAGCATTAGCCCGGTCCCGGCCTCGGCCGAGCGTGCTGCTCTCCATCTGTGCCGCGAGGAATGCAGTAAATCAGGATCTGAACGCGAGGCACAGCACACACCTACGTGTGGCTTTCTGGAGCTTAGGACCTGCTAAAAAGGAAGGTTTACAGCATGCACCTTCGCGCTGGCTGGTTTTGTTCCCTTCCGGGAAGGAGATCGGCTCTCGGAAGGATTTCTGGGGGGCTGCCTTTGGAAACCTTTCGGTGGAGACTTTGGGGGCAGCAGGGTCTTGCAGCCGGGGCTGCCCACTGACTCGCATTTCCCCTGTCGTGTCCTTGCTGTCTTTGCCAGGTGGATCTGAAGGGCTCTCGAAGCTGCGAAAGGCAAAGGAAGCTTTAGGAAACAGCCCCGCAGGTCTGCGGCACCGGGGCCGGTTAAAATCAAGCGCGGGAGAAACTGAGACGTTTCCCCTTCCTGGAGAGCTGGGCTGGGGCGTTCCTATTCCTCTGCAAGAAGAGGAGGTTGCCCTGTGTGCCTGAAAGGCTTTTGGGTTTTATTTTCTGTAGGCGACTTCTGCTAATTGCGGCGCTTCCTTGGCACCGTTGCGCGGCGCAGGGCTGCCTGCCCCTGGAGGGGTCGGGTGGTGCGGGCAGGTGGGCAGAGGTGAAAACCTTTCTGCCCCCCAAACAACCTCATTTCTCCTCCTGGGTGTTCCTCTGTGATTTTATGAAGGGGGGCTCCCCCGAGTCGCTTTGAAATGAGAATTATTCCTCCCCAAAGCTGCCGAGCCTTCATCATGCCTGCATCCACGGCATCTCTCCGGCTCTGCCCTACAGAGGGCGAAGCCCAGGGAGGCCAGCAGCAGTCCTACAGCACGGTTATTTGGGGTTATTTAGGGGGTGGGAGGCATTCCCCCCTCCTCTGGGGGCACCTGCCATCGGATAGTTCGCAGCCAGCTCCGAGGCTGCTTCCCCGGGTTAATTATTTTGTGCCCTGTAACGCGAGCCGCGTGCGGTGTTGCTCTCTCGTTCCTAGATTGAGGCCGAGGTGCTGATCCGGGCGCCGTCGACCCCAGCTGCCGGGAGGAATCCATGAGCACACGGCCTTGGCTATGGACATCGTCCTGTCGGATTTTGTTCGCTCAACGGGGGCAGAGCCGGGACTGGCCAGAGACCTGCTGGAAGGTAAATAAAGCCGGGGGTAAAAGCAGGGAGGAGGCTGCTGGGGGTGACGGGGCTCCAAAGAGGGGCAGGGAGGCTGCTGGAGGGACCCGCGGGGCTGGAGGTGTCGAAGCGGCGCCGTCAGCAGCGTGGTTGGTGAAATTCTGCCCCGGTTTCTCATTACACGTCCAGTGGTTAATGAATTTCACATGTTTGGAAGGAGAACGTGTCAAAGAGAGCCGCGATATCCCTCTGCTCATCCTCTGTTTGCTGCCAGCAGCGGTCCGGAACGGTGGCAAAACCTGGGGGTTTCTCCTGTGCCTTCTGCAGGATTGGAAGCACAGCACTAGGAGAAGGCTGCCTGTACTTTCCGAGCTGCAGAGGAGTAATTATATAGGCAAAACCGTGCTTTTACTGGTAGATCTTGTTCTGCTTGTGAAGGTGGTTTGATTATGCCCGTATAAATTGCTGTTTTGGTGGTATCTCTCCGTCCGCACCGCGAGCGGCGTGCTGCCGAGCCGCTGACCTCTCCCGGCAGCGTCCCTTTGGAGCCACGTCCAGCACCCATCACGGGACGCTCCCAAAAAACACGAAGATGCTGAGGAATCGCAGACAAGGCTCAAAAATCCATCGTCGTCATCATCATCACCACCACCTGCGCTCAGTCCGTTCGCTTTTAAGCAGGCAAGGCAGCCCCCGGGAGGCTCAGCACCCCACGCTGGCAGCATTCCAGTGCTCTGCCTCCCTGCAGAACATTTGTGCTCGCCCTAAAACACAGCCTGATGTCAAATCTCTGTCCCCCAACCTGCACGAGATCGAGAACTTGCTCGTTAGCGGTCGTGTTGAGCGTAGAGGCTGGGGGTGATCTGTTTGGACACTGGGAGCTGCGGGAAGGGGGAGAGGAGAGAGGCTGCCAGGCCCGAATTTTGGGACCGGGAGCTTCCTTGCAAGCGTTGCCTTTGGGTTCATGTTGACAAAAGGCTGGTGAGTAAATATTGCTGTAATGCTGGAGGACAGAAACGTTGCATGTGAAGCAGAGAGGGCTATGCTTGGCAGTTAATTAACCAATATGCAATTAGACGACACAAGACCATGCTTGCTGTGATACCTCGGCTATAGAATCATCCTCTCGTCTTCGGAACAAAGGTGAGCCTGCGAGTTTGACTTCGCTGCAGAAGCTGCTGCAGGTTGCTGCTGAAGAACAAACTCCCACCTGTTTTTTGACCTCGTTTTGGGGCTGTTTCTGCCTCCCATCCCTTTTCTTGCGTAGCTTGAGCCCAGGGCTTGCTCCTGAAGCATCCACACCATCTCCTCCTCTTGGTGCCGTGACAGCGAGGCACTCAAAGCCCTGAAATCATTGCTCTAATCCGTGTCTTCAGGCAGTTTGCTCCAGCTCAGGGCCAGCAGGTGGAGGATTCCTTTCCTCGCCCGGCTCCCGTGAGCCGTGTGCTGGCTGCAGGACTTCACCCGCTCAGCGTGCGGCCGCGGCGGCGCAGCGGAAGTCTGGCAAAGCTGTGGCTTTTGTGGCGCGTTTATGGCTTCTGGTTTTAGGTTTCTTTGTTTCACGGCAGGATTTCTAATGGTATCTTTCAGAATTAACATTGAGGCTTGCGATGGAAAAAAGTTAAAGCAGGTATTCCTCCAAATTTTCTCTCTCTCTCCCGCTCTGGCACACCGGTTGATTTATTCTGACAGTTGTTTTGCCTCGTTTTCACGATGCGCTGCTGAGCGCTGCTGTTTTTTCTGTAGTCTCTGTGGAATTGACAACTCCACGTGTGGAAATGAGGCGAGACAGATTTGTCTTTCCTTTTTTTTTGGTGTGCCTTAGTAAGGTTGTAGTGTGCAGTCAAACAAAAGAGCTGTACGAAGTGAAGTAGTCAGATGTGAAGTTTGAGGGCGAGCTGAGGAACTTGTGAGCTGTGGTTTTCTGCTCGTGCTTGGAGTTTTGTGCACGTTTCGATGCTGATTCTTTGGTTTTCATTTAAAAAATAAGAAGGCTCAAAAGGTGAACCTTAAAATAACTTTCTACTTGGAGACAGTCACTAAACGTTGCGAATTACATCTCTCAAAAGGATTTAAATACTTGAAAAATGTATTTCCTTTTGGGAATTAGGCATAACGATTTCTTTTATTGTCTGTGAGCTATCACATAAACCAACTGACAGTTTATATCTCTCTTCTGTAGTGGAGTTACTATATATAAAGCTGGCTTGCTTTCTGCACTGTCTGCTAACTTGCAAATTTAAGAGCTTAGATTAACAGTGTTCATAAAAATCACAATTTTTGCAAATGTAAGCCATATGGTAGACTCTTTTTTTGCTATATATTCTTGCTTTTGGAAGACAGTGGCTTCTAAAAGGTCAATTTATTGCATACATGAGAGGCTCGAGTGTAGTACCATTTATTCTTCCAGCCCGCTGGGTAGTGTGAGCAGGAAGTGGAACTGCTCTCAGGATTCACCCGACTCCGCTAAGTTCAAGCTGAATAAGTTTTACTGAATAATTCATCTGCCTTGTAATGGCTTGAGCCTGCTGAAAAGTGTTGCAGCTACTGCCCAGCCTGGCTGGCACCTTGCTTGCTCTTTTATTTTGGGTGTCAGCTGGAAGAGAGGTGGGTGGCTGCCTCCTAAAAACCCCGGACAGGCGCTGGAGAAGTTAGGAACCCTCAGCTGCTGAGGTCGTGCTTGCTCCAGCGTTATCCTGCAATAACATGGGGGAGCTGAAAGCTGTCGGCTGCTCGACTTGGTCAGCAAAGGAGCGACGTCGGCATCACGGCGGATTATCTTCACTGCAGCTTACGAAACAGCGCTCGGCGTGACCTGGAGCAAGGGGCTGCTTGCCTGGCACTGCTGGACACGGCACAGCCCAACCTTCCGTTTTATGTTGACCCTGCCCTTCGTTTCGCAGCCAGAAGGCTAATTTGGGCAGAACCCAGGGTCTTGGGGGCTTTGTGGAGGTTTGGTGGACGTCCAGCCCCGGGAGCAGCAGCTCCCTCTGGGCTCAGCGCACTCGAGGCACGCATAAACCACCCCCCGTGGCACTGGTGGCAGCACACCCAACATCTTCTGGGCACTTCACGTTGAGTTATATTTCTTTCAGAAACCCAGATCCTGGTTAAATACATCTTCAAATCCAATGGGTAGATAAAGGGCTGTTCTTAGCTTTTAGCGTGGGTGGTTAGGAGCTGACTTGATTTCTCTCCCGTGATGGTGACCACTGTTGATTCCTCCCAATCCAGGTAAAAACTGGGACCTGAGCGCAGCCCTGAGCGACTTCGAACAGCTACGGCAGGTGCACGCGGGGAACCTACCGCCCTCCTTCAACGAAGGACGCAGCTACAAACCCCCCGAGAAGGAGGCAGCCCGCGCGGGGCGACCGCCGCTGCAGCGGCAGGATGACATCGTGCAAGGTAAGGGCGTCTCGCTGCCCCGTAGCCGAGTCCCAAAGCTGCTAGGGAGCGGTTTGGTCTTCTCCTGGTGGCTGAAATATTTGTCAGAGCAATTCAGCTTCTGGCGACCAAAAAACGCTAGCTGAAGGCAGCGATTTTAATAACAGCTTCTGCGGAGTTTGCTGCTTCTGCACCGTTCAGGTGGTTTTTTCATCTTCCTTTCCCTCTCAGAAAAACGTCTGTCTCGAGGCATTTCCCACGCCAGCTCTACCATCGTCTCTCTGGCCCGTTCCCACGTCTCCAGCAACGGCAGCAGCGAGCACCTGCTGGAGATGCCCATTTCCACCTTCCAGTTGCCTGACCTCACGGTGTACACCGAGGAGTTCCGCAGCTTCATCGAGCGAGACCTCATCGAGCAGTCGATGCTGGTGGCGCTGGAGCAGGCTGGTGAGCATTTACACCCCGAATTCTTATTTTTTTTTAATGCTAATGCAGCCAGTGGTGGCAATTTGCAGCGGCACCGACTGGAGTGTGCTGGCACACAAGCCTTAGGCGGTGGAGAACCGAGCAAGGGCGCGTATCTGTGCTAGATATTATTTCATCCCTTTTTATAGCGTGGTGCAAGAGTTGAGCAAGAGGCTGCTTCGCTTCGCCTGCAGACACCAAATGTAAATTGTGTGAGCCTGTCGTCATCGCTCATGCAGCTGAATGGTAATGCTCAGGAAAAAAAAAAAAGCTGCATTATCTCACCACCTAAGCTTCCCCGTGCCCTGCGCTATCCCAGCGGCTTTACTGTGAGAAACTGGGGGGGGGGAGAAATCATTGCATAACACCACCAGCAGCTAATCATCACGGACAAATATCAGCCGTGATTACAGACGTTTCAGATCGATGATGCATTTTACACGCTTGCTGCTTCAATGCAGGGAAACTCGTCGGCTGGCTTTGTGTGTGTGCCCGGAGAGGAACCACGTCGGGAGCGCAGACGGGTTTGTTTTCCAACAAGCTGGTTTCCTCCTGAATAGTTGCTAGGTGATCTGTAAATAAGATTGAGCTGGTGAATGAAGGGGACCTCCGTGCTGGCGGGGAACAACCTAATCCGTGTTACCAGGACAGCGTGCAGTTGGGACAGGGTGGGGAAAGAGGCAAACCAGGCGAGATCTGGGGAGCCCTTGCACCTCTCCTTTATTTCTGTCAGCAGCCCACACACCTAGAAAACTGTTCCTTCAAGGAGAACGTGCGTTCTTCATGTCAAATTTTAGTCCCATCCCGCTCAAGTGTTCCTGTAATAAATATTCTCATGTTTTGGGAATGAACACTTGATCCAAGCGATCTCCTTACAGCGGCGTTGCTCTTCGCTGACTGTCAAGCTGTCGTGTCTAATGCAAATTCAAATGCACTTATCTGCATCTCTGCATCCAAGCAGGGCCCGGGCTGGGCGTTGGATTGCTGCATTTCAGCACAAACTCTGGCCCAGAGAACTCCGGTGCTTTCAGGCAGTTAGCAGCTAGTTGGCATCTAGTTTTCAGCACAGATCTCTCAAGCTGTAATTCACCCGAATCCTTTCTGTGAACACAAAACACGTTGGAGGCATGTCTGTGACCCCGGAGGAGGAGGCACGAGCTGTCAGCAGGGCAGGCAAGAGATTCCTGTGGCCTCAGAGGGAGCTGGATGAGGCCTCTTGGCTGTGCTTTTTCATCCGAGTGCTGGCGACACTTCCCAGTGTTAATGTTTAGTAATTGATTTTTTTCGAAAGCGCCATCTGAAGGCAAAGTGTGCCTGCGTTATGTATGTGGGTTCGTTTATAAATGAATGTTTATCTTTACCAAAGGGCTGCGCTGCACATACGAAATCTTCCAGGCTTGATTTGAAGTCGGGTTTTGTGCACTGTGCAGTGCTCTGCACCGATATCCTTTATTAATTTAGTACGCCCTGTCCTTAGGGGATTAAGCAGATATTTTATAGACCAATAAACGCGAAGATAACTCTTCGTGCTCTATCCAGAGCTCCCTTTACGCCAATGTGGCAGAGCAAGCACGCTTTCAAGTGGCTGTAAATCGTAACTCCGTCCTCTGGGGAAGCTGTTAACGTGCTCAGCGTTCTACGAAAAGGCCTTGGTGGAGCTGAAAATTTGGCCCTCGCTCCAACCTCAGCGCTTTTTGTTCGAGCCCTGCATGGTTCAAGCCTTGCCCCGTGTTCTGCAGGTGAAGTGTTTTCCTCGCCGCGCACCTGGGGAAGCAGCAGGCAGCGCCTTGCCCTGGGCTGTCCTAAAAATCAGCAAGAGTTGGAAGAAACTCCAGGCTGAGTTGCTGAGCCTTTGCTCCAAGGTCGGGCTTTCTGCCTGGGGTCAGGGAAGCAACTCCAAGCGCTTCTCCAAAATTCCCCCAGCGCATTGGCAAGGAGACTTCTCCTTCGCTCTTCGGGCTGATGCTGCAGTAAACATCTGTAGGTGGACTGTTAAAAACTGCTGAGTGAAGGGTTCGGCTCCTCTCCTCCCCGCCTGCTTGCTTCACTGCCGGAACGGTGGCAGAGGACTGGCGAGAGCAGGTTCCTCGTTCCTGGAATGCAAATCCCCTGCGTCTTGGAGCGAGCCATCAAAGCCACCAGCGCACGTCCGTCCCTTGGGAATGTATCACCCGGCTCCTGAGGAGCTTCTCAGCTGGGTTTAGCCCGTGCGTGGTCACAGGCACGTGTGTGCACGTCCCCCCCTCTGCCTTACGCACTAGCGTCCCACTTGCAAAAGCTCCTGCAAATATTTTAGCCCGTCAGTCACTGGCCAGCCTGGCTTCCCCGACAGGAGAGACGAGCTCACGGCTGGGGCCACCTGGCTCTGAAAGGCAGCTGAAGTTCTCTTCCTTCGCACAGCTGGTCGTAACACACCGCAAACCTTCACTTCTCGTCCCTCCTGACCCGTGGAAGAGGCTCAGCATTGAGGGAGAAAACAGCTGGGGATGGGTCAACGCGTTAGGAGCAGCTCTTGTTGCTGCCAGATCCCGAAACAAAGGGTTTTTTCCTGCAGGTTTCATTTAAAGGAAAATTCGGATCAATTAGAAGAGGGAGGTTACGGGTGTATTATCAAACTTCAGATGCGATAAAGCAGCTTGCCATTTCCAGCTTCTCTTCTCCTTTTTTTTTTTAACCAATAACCTAGTCCCAGGTCGTGGCCCTGCTCCTTCATCTCCAGCTTCAGCAAGGGAAGAAAAATCTGCAGCAGCCTCCCAAGCACGGCGGCGGGCGGTGGCGTCAGCCCGGGGAGCCCGAGGACAGCTCATCGCGGGAACGCTACCTCCGTCACGCAGGGAGCACGGCCGTGTCAGCACGGCTCCGGAGTCCCTGGGTAGCCCCAGGGAAGCCGTTTGGTTTCTCCGTGAGTCAGGGCTGGGCGCAGGGCGAGGAGGAGCATCGGGGCTGCTCCTTCCTCTTGGCGTGCCCCATTTCCGTGGTTCCTGTTGGAAGCACGTGCGGCGTTCCACAAAGCGGCGTTTGCGCACAGGTTCCTGGTCACTGCTGGAGCAAAGAAATGTTCTCCCCGTGCCACGAAACGTCCTAAAACATCCCAAAACCAGCTGTGTGGCGGGGCTGCGTCCCGTGGGAGCGGTGGTCCTGGTGTCCCCTGCAGAGGGGAGCTCCTGATCCTGGCTTCAGACGCGCAGAAAAGCTGTCGCTGACCTCCCGGGCTTCAATTCTGGAGCTGTGTCAGCTCTCGGCAGGGCTTTTCTGCCTGCCAGCGGGGACAGCGGGGTGACAGCCTGGAGCTGAAAAGCAAAAGGGCAAGCGAGAGGCAGCCGGGAGCTGGGGACGCTGCTGCGAGCGAGCTGGAAGCCAGCAACAGCAAACTGCTTGGCGCTCGTCTGCGTTTGTCCTGCTCCTTGCAGCAGCATTTCTCGTGCTGCCGCGGAAGCGCTGATGGCAGGAAGATCCATTGTGCTCCCAAACAAAATTGTTTTCCCTTCTGCCTGCACGCAGAGCTGCCCGGCCCCGCCACTCAGAGCTGCGTGCAGAGAAATTGGGCGTTTTAAACACTCGTAGGGGGCCTCGTGGCCTTTTTACTGCCTGGACACAAGCGAAACGCCTGGGGAGCGGCGACGTCCCCGAGCTCCGCGGTTGAGTCCGGAAAAAGAGCAGCAAAAATCCTCCAGGAAAAAAACGTGCAGGGGATCAGAAAGCTCGGCGCTGAGTGCTGTAGCCCCGCGTTTTTGTTTAGCTGTTGGGAGATGCTGGTTTGCTTCTCGCTCTGCTCGCCTGGCGCCGCGCCACTTGGCGCGGGTTTGCGCCTCGGCCGTGCCAGGAGCTGTGCCGAGCGAGCCCAGCCCGCTTCTCTGAGCGGAGCTATTGTCTCCGGGCTGTGCACTGAACCCTTTTTTCAACTCCAGCAGGTTCCTTCCCTGATGCCGGGATGAGAAATTAGCAGCATCACGCTGCAGTTAGCCCTGCCTGCTGTGTTTTCCTGCCTTTATCTCCCGGCGGTGTTGGAAAGCAGCTTTCTGTCAGTGCCCCCGCTTCTGCTGCACAATTTCGATAAATCCTCTGCTCCCGTGAGAGCCGGGGTGGCTGCCAGGGGCCGTGCTCAGGAACAGGGATATTTGTTAGAAATATACGGCTGGGCGAGGTGCAGCCTGGCTGGAGTTGTGAGCCTGAGGTGGTAATTTCGTGCAGTTTTGTTTCCTGGATAAATGTTTAACTTCTAGCGTTGAGTTTAACTGTAGTGGGTTTGTTAATTTTTCCGAGCTTCTATTTTTAGACGGTCTGAAAACCTTCTCTCTTGACTCGTAGTAATTCAAGTGCCTGGTATTACCCAAAAGTTGCTATTTTTAAACCCGGTAAAGCGCCGTCAGTTTGCATTTTCGTTGGTGAAGCTGCTTAGCTGCTTGGCTCAGCAAAAGTTCCTGACAATTGTACCGAAACCAGTGAGCAGGGAAAAAATGACCGATGCTTTCAATAGGAGGGATCTGGTTGCTAAAAGCAACCCCAAGCAGCCTCGTTATTAGCTGGAGAAACTGGAAAAGTTGTTGGGCACCGTTTGGGACCGGCGCCCTGGATGTGTTCTCAGCAGGATGTTTTTTTGGGGGGTTGGGGGGAACTGGATAGAAGGAGAATGCTGCTCTGGGTTAAAGCCCTGGCTGGATTTGCTCCTGTTTTCAGCTTTCTCTCTAATTTGTGTGACCTTAAGTAAGGATTTTGCGTTTTCCTGCCTGTCCTTGCAGCCTGGCCACCTCCCCAAGTCCCCACACTCTGCCCTTTTTGGTGCATTTCCGTGGCTCCTTTCTTCCAGGCACAGACCGGGCACGCAGCTCGCATCCGCGGGCATCCCCATCGCAAACCAAGCAGGCTGCACTCCTCATCTTTCTTTATTTTTTTTCCTTTCTTTTTGAGCAGATGAACCCAACGGCCCCGCGGCGCGTTAACGGGCCCCGTTTTCACGCTCTTCGCTATCTCCCCAGGTCGCCTGAACTGGTGGGCGAACGTGGACCCCAGCTGCCAGCGGCTGCTCCCCCTGGCCACCACGGGCGACGGGAACTGCCTGCTGCACGCCGCCTCCCTGGGTAAGAGCCTTGTAGGGTGCAGGACTGGAAAAATAGCCAAGTGGTTCCCTCCGGCCCTGGTAAGGAGCTCGTTCACACCGCAGAGTGGCCCCGCAGAGTGGGGAAGTTTCCAGGACCTGGGTTTGCCTCCTGTGACTTCACCTTGTCGAACATGACAACCTTTTGGGAGGTTTCTAGACTTCTAAATCACCCGGGTTGGGCATTTCCTTCGTGTGGCCGGCTCTGCTCAGACGCAGCAAAACCACAGCCTTGTTTCACCTGGTCTAAATTTGCCCTCGACACATCAGCCCGGCGGAAAGCACCGTGTGATTTCATGAACAAATATTTTGCTTCATCTGGGACATTCCTTAGAGCTGAAGGCAGCAGCTGCCGCTTTTAGCCGCGTAAAAACTCGTTGCGGGTGGGAAAGGCAGGCTTTGGACAGGGGGCTGGGGGCTGTTGATTTTTTTCCTCGGTTTGGCCCTGCTCACCTCACATTTCTCTGCCCTTGTTTCCCAATTTACCACTTCCCTTGGTTTTGTGGCAGGTTGTAGGAGTTCAGCCATGAGATAGCAGAAGAAGATGGGGAAACGCCAGCTCTCGCTAATCCTCTGCTGCTTTTTCCTCCCCCCCCCCCCCCTCTCTGTGCAGGTATGTGGGGTTTCCACGATAGAGATCTCATGCTTCGCAAATCCCTTTATACCTTAATGGATAAAGGTGTGGAAAGGGAAGCCCTGAAGCGGAGGTGGCGCTGGCAGCAAACGCAGCAGAACAAGGAGGTAGGAACTGAACGCGGTCCTAGGAGCAGAGGGGAAAATCCTGAGAAAACATCCCATAGGGAGGAAAAACAAACAAAAAAAAAGGTCTTGAATTTTAGGCAAGTTTGTGGCTTGCAGTACTCGGCCATGCCGTGATGAGAAATATCCTCCCCTCTAAATTATGGCTGTGAAGCTTTGGTGAAATGCTCTTTATTACAAGGGAGGAAAATCCCTTTATTGGCTCAGTGTTACGTCCACTGCTGATGGAAAACAAACGTCACCGCTCCCCGAAGATCCAGCCTCGTCCAGGCTGCGAGGGTGTTGTTGGCAGTGCCAGGGCACGATCGCTGCTGTGTTTTTAGGAGAGAAGAAGAGCTGTCGTGTAGGTCTCTCCTGCGATAAGATCACAAAGCTGCGCCTCTGTCGAGGCGTGGAGCAGCCTCCGCCACTAAAAAAGGAAACGGCGAGCTCGCCACATGAAAGGCTCCTCAAAGCTGCGACGTGCTCCCCCCCGACAGCAGGGCCGTGGCTTTGTCAAGGCGGAAAGTTACCAGATGTCCCCAAATCGCGCCGTGGTGTTGTGAGCAGAGTAAACTTTTTTGTTTCCACCTGACACTGAAGGATGGTGTTTACTTTCCAACTTCCTTTTTATTTTTGGAAGGGCACGGAGATTAGCATCTCGACAGGCTGAAAAAAAAAAAAAAAAAGAGCTACTTCCCTGTTTGAAACAAAGTCGTCGATAAATAATTGGAGGTTTGGCTGCTATTAAAAGCACGCTTTTGTTGCATCTCCTTAAACTGCGTGCTCAGGGCTATCTCCAGAACTAGCCACCAGCAAAGCACTGGGACTTGCAGACCTTAAAGGGCTTGAAAATACTCGGCGTGCGGGCTCATTTGTGTCCTTCCCTTCTAATAACCCTCGGCAGAAGCTTCTCGGAGGCAGGCGGGTGTAGGTGGTGCCTGCAGTCAGGTGCAGCAGTCCAGCTTCAGCCGGTGTGGCAGGTACTGTGTAAGGGGTTGGCTGGAAGTCGGGGATTAGGAGCTCTTCCTTTCCAAATAAATTTGGAAAGAGGCAGCCCAGGGTGATGGAAGCTGCTCCGGCTTGCCTAACCCACTCTGGGTACAATTCTCCTCCCTCTCTTTGCTTTACGCTCAGATCGATGATGAAAGAAGTCCCACTGGAGGCTTAACCAGGAGCAGGGAAACTTAATTAATGCCTTGCTGAACGAGCAGGGAGCCGGCTGGGCTGTCAGCTGCTTCTGGTTCGTGGCTTGAAGGCTTTCTTGGCAGCTTCGAGGGCTGAGGATGTTGTGTTTGGATGCTGGAGCCCAGGAAGAGAGGAGGAGGGCAGGGCTGCCTGCTCTTCCTCGTGCCAGTTTCAGCAGCTTGCCTCATGGCCTTAACACTGCAGGCTCAAGTGTAGCTTTGTGTTTTAAGGTATTTCTCCCCTCATTTGGGATTAATAAGGCTTAACGAGCCCTTTAACTGCTTGGGACCGTATTGGAAAGCTTCTCCATCGAGCAAAAGAGCAGCTTTTCGAGGAAAGGGCCGTGCTTTGCAGGGGCTTCCCTTGCACTGATTTTGGGGGTCTCGTGGTTCACGTGGTGTGACTGCAGAGTTGATGTTTGCATGCTCAGGAAATGTGAGTAAAACCTCGGTTTGAGTGCATGGACAAACAAGAAAGGACTGAAGGGATAAACAACTCAGCTTGACTGCAGGTCAGAAAAGAATCTGCAGTGGCAGAAAAAATCCATCCCACTCTTATAATTAGCCATCGGGTCTTGCCTGTGCTATGGGCCCTGTGCCTCTTTGGAGAGCTAAAAAAGGATCAAGTGTGTTAAAATACCTCAGCGAGCCTTGTGTTGGATCCTTCTGGGCGTTACGGTGCCTTTCTTTTGTTTTCATAGCTCAGTAAGGAGGGAAAATAACTTCTAAAGGCAAACTTTAGCTGGTCCTGTCCTCATCCTCCCACTGGTGCTTGGCTGTAGGTTATGTCAGCTGTAATACTGGAGCAGTTAGAGTAAGAGGAAAGCTTTCCTCTCGTTTTGGGGGTTGAAATGTTTATTTCCACCCCACCAGGCTGAAAACTCTTCATTTTAGGCAGATTATCTCCCTGCTGGCTTGAAACTGCTGACTGGGAAATGTGTGCTTTTTTTTCACAGAATCAGAGAATGTGAGGGCTGTGTGCTTTTTTTTTTTCACAGAATCACAGAATTTAGGGGTTGGGAGGGGCCCTGGAAGATCCCCCAGCCCAGTCCCCTACTCCATTCCCTCCTCCGAGTCATCGATGAATACATTGAGCAGCGCTCGTACCAGTACCAACCCTCTGGCTTCTTTCCTTCAGCCAACTCACAGCCCACCTCCCACCCTGATTGTCCAGACCACCCTCCCTCAGTTTAGCTTTTTTTTTTGCGTAAAATATTGATTATTTTTGCATAAATCCATAGAGAGATGTTGTGGCTGCGTGTACAAAGCATTGCTACAGAAATTGGGGGGAAAAAAACTCACGTTGAGGACTCTGTTCTGTCTTTCCTTTCCCAGTCTGGTCTGGTTTACACCGAAGAGGAGTGGCAGAAGGAGTGGAACGAGCTGATCAAGCTGGCCTCCAGCGAGCCCCGCGTGCACTACGGCACCAACGGAGGCAACTGCGGGGGGTACGTGGAGCAAAGTGGCTGGGAGGCTTTCCAGCCTTCTGGCTGGGGTGTCCAGGGCTTAGGTGGCCATAATGAACATGGGACAGGGGAAAAAAACAAAGGGAATATCTTCCTTAAATGTACAGCTTGGAATAATTTTCCCGAGGGCAGGTCCAGGGACCTGGCTGGGAGCAGAGGAGGGATTTGCTGCTTTGGTCCCGCTTGTATGGGAGGGTTTTAAGGGGAGGGTTGAAGGATTGTGAAAAACAATGAAAACATCCATTAAAATGTTATGGAAAGCCATCTCTCTAAATGCTGCCTGACCCCTTTTGTGGGGTAAAAGCTCTTTTTCCAGAATTGAACAAAAACCTAATCTTTTCTCACGTTTCATCATGTTGTTGGCTCCAAAATGAGGGCGATAAACAAAAGCTGAGAATTTCTGCAGTGTTCTCTCTCCCTCGGTGTTTCAAGGGCACTTTATCGCTGCAGCTATCCCAAACAAACACAACTTTTGAGGCTCTTTAGATAAGAGCCTCCAAGAAGTGCCAAGCAGCAATGTGGTATTTCCTGGAAACAAACCCTTGCCTCAGAATAGGACATTTTTTGGATCTGTCTCTGGGTCTAAAATACGAAATTAGAGGAAAGATGAAACTTTATGCCATTAATATGATCCAAGTCCGTGCTGTTGCCTGTAAAGAACGCTTCCTGTCTTTAAAAGCAGTGATTAACTGCACAGAGGATGAAAAATTGATTTATTTCTTGTTTCCCAGTGTTGAAAGCTCCGAGGAACCTGTGTACGAGAGCCTGGAGGAGTTTCACGTCTTTGTCCTGGCCCACGTGCTGAAGAGACCCATAGTAGTGGTGGCAGACACGATGCTGCGGGACTCGGGGGGAGAAGGTAAGAATTGCACTCGTTTATCTTTATTAATTGTGCGTGCTCAGGCTGTTTATTGCCCGTACACTGCTGCCACGGGCTCTTTCTGCTCCGTGGAGCCTGATTTTCAGCTGTCGATGAGCATGGGGCTGGGTGTGACTGTGCTGGAGGCTATGAGCCACAGAGCTGAGCATCACCGGCTGATCTGCTGCCTTTTCACACTGACTTCTCATCTTCTTGTGCCCCTACGCGTGTGTACAGATGGGAAATTCCGTTCCCTGCATGTAGTATTTTCCACTAGCAGACTTAATTTCCTGTCAGAAAAGATTCATCAATTACCATCACTCTGTGTGCAAATTTAAGTTGTTTTTTTGTGTGTGTGTGTGTGGAGGAGGGCTTTTGTAGAACCTACAGATTCATCCTGCAACTGTGTTCCTCCTGGTATAAAACGGATGTCTGGTTGGGGTTTGTTTTTGTTTTGTTTTTCTTTTTTTGCCCCTCAAGTTGATAGCTGATTGCAGGTAAAACCTTAGAAGTGAAACAGCCTGTCCTGGAGCAGTTTCAGGATAAACAAGTCTTAACTCTTCGACCTATTATGAAAACTAATCAGCCCGATTTCTTTCCAGCCTTTGCCCCTATTCCCTTTGGAGGCATCTATCTTCCCCTGGAAGTTCCAGCCAACAAATGCCATCGCTCCCCTCTGGTTCTGGCGTACGACCAAGCCCATTTCTCTGCCCTGGTATCCATGGAGCAGAAGGAACCCACGAAAGATCAAGGTAGGTGATGAACAAGCCCAGTGATTTACGTCCCGAGCCTGGCAGTCACAGCAGCCCTTGTGCACGCTTCGGCGCGCCACCGGCAGAACCGACACCGTTTTTGGGGATCGCCCCGAGCTCGGCTGCTGATGCTGTGAAAAGTTGCCTTCTCATGGGGTTTAGACAGGCTGGAGGAAGAGGGTGACGTGAAGAAAGCTTAATTTATGTGGGGAGCATGCTGGAGATCGACGTCAGGCTTCTGTGTCGACTGCAGTTCGGGCGACTGATGGGAGACGCGGCGCAGAAGTGACAGGCGCTGTCGCCTCGGCGCAGCGTGCCAAACCTCGTCAATTAGGGCAGTAAGTGGGCTTTCTGTTCTCCTCCTCCCGCAGCTGTGATCCCCCTGACAGACTCCGAGCATAAGCTGCTTCCCGTGCACTTCGCCGTGGATCCCGGGAAGGATTGGCAGTGGGGGAAAGACGACAGTGACAACGTCAAGCTGGCCAGGTCGGTTGTCTGCACGCCGGAGCGGTCGCAGCCGCGCGGTTCGGTCTTTATCCCCAGCTGCTCACGAGCACTGGGGGGTTTCTTGTGTCTGGGTTGAAATTGTGCTGGGGTATGAACCTACTCAATGCAGACAGAGCAGCTTTTTCTTTTTTTTTCCTTTTTTTTTTCTGATGTCCTGATTGTTTTGGTATATTTTGGGAAGGGTGGTGACATCTTACCGGCTTCGATAAGGAGGGTCAGGGATTGTAGCCTGTGTTCTCCGGCACAAAAAGGTGCATTTTTCCCTTCCTGCATCCTCAGAGAGAACAAATACCTTTGCCCATGAGCCCCAGGAGCCGGAGGGATGCTTGCAGGCAGACACCCGTCCTGGTTTGGGCTCAGACCACGGGCGAGCTGCGGCACGGTTTGGTAGCAGCGAGTTTCCTGTTATTGAGCCAGGAGTCACCAACAGTGGGCGTCGTGGTCGGAGAGCTGGAAGCATGACTTGGCCATCATATGACTTCGGGTTAGGAAACGTAAAAACCTCCAAGATCAGCACGTTTATTAAAGCTCAGGGCAGGTTTTAGCGACACGGTATTGCGCGGTACAGATACTTCGTTTTGAGTTTGTTTTTTTTAAAACTGATAGGAAATACTGTGTGTTTTTGATGGAAACAAAATGACAAATGGAAATTGTTGAGAAAACATCTTTGCTTTTCTTTTCTGAAGTTGTTTTTGTGGAGAGGAAAATCATTTTGAAACTAGCTCTGTTTAGATCTGTGACATCTGCTTTTTTGTTACTCGTCTCGTGTACCTGTAAGATTATTTGCCAGGTTGGTATTAATTTGTAGCAAACCCGATTCTGACATACAGGAATCTTCTTACTTATTCATTTCCTTTTTAATTAAAAGGCTTCAAAAACGTTACCTTTTGTATTGCTGCTGCCTTGATGGTTTTTACCTGTTAAAACATGCGTTTTAAACATAAATACAACGGGCAAATGCCTTGGTAAAGACTTGACTCTGACTTCTTGTGCTTGTTTCAAATTTTAGTGTGACGCTATCGTTGGAAGCCAAGCTGCACTTGCTGCACAGCTACATGAATGTTAAATGGATCACGCTGCCTTGTGACACGCAGGTAAGGAGACGAGGGGGGGGTTCTTTAATTATTTAAGCCCCCCCTCTGCAGGGCCCGGCGGGAGCGAAGTCGTCATCTGCCCAGCCCTCCTTCACGTGAGGTTGTCTGTGCTTCCATTGGAAAAGGCAGCAAGCGCAGCTCCGAGCAGACAAACAACTCGTGTTTTTGTGCCTGCGCGTTTCTCTCGAGCTTTTCCTGCCTGTTTTTGTCCTTCCTGCAAAGCTGAAGCTCAGCCCTCGCACGTCCTGCTGAGCGGCGCAGCCTGCTGTGTAGGTGTCTGGCAGCGAGGCCGGCTGCTGCCTATTCCAAGACAAACACAAACTGTTGGTTTGTGGCCACCAGAAGCTGACTTGCGGCTTGACTGTAATTTTCCTGGGACCTTTCGTTGTCGGGACTGACTCGTGGAGCTCTGGGAACTTCTGCCTGCTTCCAACATCCCTGTGGCAGCTGCCTTAGCAGTGTCACCGGGCTGCCAGGCGTGAAGGATTTCTTTGTTTGTTAGCTTTTTATTGCTTGTGTTGCTTTTTTCTCCTCCTCTCTTTGGAGAAAACTCCCCAAACTTACACGTGAGCTGTTCTGATCTGTCTGAAAGCAGCACACGGCCAGGGCGTGTGCTGAATTCTGCGGGTCGCTCTTTGGCTGCAGCGCTGACACGAAATAACTCCGGATCTGAGAGCCACCACTTGTCCCCTCTGTTCTCCTAGCGAGTGCTTGCCTCCATTTATTTCACCTTCAGCCTGAAAAGGTTTATCTGAGGAACTTATCTGACTTTGATATGTGTTTTCTTTCTCCCTAGGCGCCTCTGGCCCAGCCAGAATCCCCCACAGCCTCTGCAGGAGATGACGCTCGATCAGCTGCGGAGTCAGGGGAGTCCGACAAGGAGTCGGTCTGCAGCAGTTCGGCAAGCAACGGTGGCAGCAGGGGTTGCAAGGACAAAGAGAAACCAAAGAAAGACCGAGAAAAGGACAAGGAAAAGGATAAAAAACGAGCAGACTCGGTTGCTAACAAGCTGGGCAGCTTTGGCAAGACTTTGGGAAGTAAGCTAAAAAAGAACATGGGAGGGTTGATGCACAGCAAAAGTATGAAGGGAGGCGTGAGCAACGGGCAGGGAGATACCTTGGAGAAGAAAAAGAAGGGATCCTTGAAGTCGAGGAAAGGAAGCAAAGAGGAATCTTCCCAAGGAGACTTGTCGGCTCCCGTGGAGAAAACCTGCCCGGGGAAAGCAGCCCCCGAGAAGCCGTCGGACCCCTACAAGTACAGCAACGACGTGAGGCTGAGCCTCAGCATCCTCCGGGCTGCCATGCAGGGAGAGCGCAAGTTCATCTTCGCCGGCCACCTCAAGACCAGCAACAGGCTCCAGTACCAGGAGGAGATGATCCAGCAGTACCTGCTGGACGCCGAGGAGCGCTTTTTGGCCGAGCAGAAGCAAAAGGAGGCAGAGAAGAAGGCGCTGGCGAGCGCTGCCCCCGCCAAGAGGCTGGAGCCGGAGCTGAACGCCCACAAGGGCGAGGAGGCGATGCTCAGCCCCGCGTACCCCCAGCCTCCTCCTGCTTACGCCATCCAGACCCCGGATTTGGCCCTCGGCGCGAAGATGGCAGCTTTTCCCTCCAGCTACTCGGGCGTCTTCACCTTCCCCCGGCCCTCGGTGGCCAGCAGCACCGAAGGATCTCACCCCCCCGGCTTCCCCGACGGCCGGCGCCAGGTCGCGGGGGGGCCCTGCAGCAGCCTCCCCCCTTACGCCACCCTCCCCAGGCACTGCGGCCAGCCCCGGCCGAGCCCCCACTCCTCCAGCCCATCCCACGCCGGGCGATTTTCCCCCACGGACACGGATTCTCAGCCCGGTTTCCCAGCGGCGGAGCGTGAGGGACCTGGCGGTTCGGCCCCGCACAGCAACGGCTGCCGGGAGCACGCGGAGCAGGACGGCTCGCAGAAAGGAGCGGACAAAAGCAGGGGCCGGGCTCTTTATAACGTCCAGCAGACCAAATGCAAGCAGCCCAACTGCAGCTTCTACGGGCACCCAGAAACCGGCAACTTCTGCTCCTGCTGCTACAGGGAGGAGCTGAAGCGCAAGGAGCGGGAGGCTCTGGTGCACAGGTTCTGAGCGCTCTGTGCCCGCGCTGCTCTTCGGACCCGTGGCACGTGGGGGGCTGCAATAACGCCCGGAGTTCCCCCCCTCCCCTCCCCACGCTCCTCTCCCTGTCCGTGGAAGGAGGGAGGCGGCGGGCGCCTGGCCGGGCTGAGGAGCGCGATGCCCTCCTCCCCGCGGCCTCGCCACGAGCACGGGCGCCTTGGACGGGCTCTGGTTAGCCAGGGGGGGCTCGGGTTAGCCAGGGGGGGCTCGGGTTAGCCAGGGGGGCTCAGGTTAGCCAGGGTAGCCAGCCGCTGTGGAGGGCGAGCTGAGGTCGGAGCACGAGGCGCAGGGGGCTCCTCGCCGCCCATCCAGACCAAAGTTTCGGGGGCAGCAAGCGCCCCACGGGTCCTCCGGCCGGGCTCCACCCTCACTTCTCGTAGCGCTTCTCCCGAATCGAGCGAAAAATGCCCCAACAATTTCAGTTAGAAAGTCTCAGACCTTTGAATCGAGAGGTTTTAATTTCTTTTTTTTTTTTTTTTAACACCGTTTTTATTTTACGTGATGTTTTCTGGTACTGAGAGGAGCTTAGTCGGAAGAGGACGTTATTTTATTTTATTTTATTTCGTTTTTGTTTTCGGTTTGAACTCGTCTGAGCCCAGCGGACGTCTCCCAGCACCCCGCAGCAGCGGGCTCGGGGCGCTGCCCTTCCGAGGGGCTCGGCTCTTTTGTTTTTAAACCTTACTTTCAAATTCTTCTTGGGGTGGGAGGGGGACGGGGTGGTCACAGCGCTGAGTGGCTTTGAGTTTTCCTGCAGAAGTGCTGTGCGGAACCGTTACCGGTACAGTCGAAGCGACTTAGAATCGACGGAGAAACGAGGTCAGTGTCTCCACCCAGCAATAACCGACGGCGTGGAGAAGCAGGGAGGACAAAGAGCGCCCCGAGGCACCGGGAGGTAAATCTGCACCGGGCTGCCCTTAGCTTACAGCTGTGCGTGGCCACACACACACGATAACTCTTTCTACTTGAGCAAGCTACTTCCATACTACCTCTGTTCTGCTGAATAGAATTAACTCGGCTCCATTTTGCTGAGCCACGTTAACTGACCTTAGGCTGAGTAATATTAAAGATATTTTTGATAATAGGGCTAAAGAGTGAAATGTAAGAATAACGAACCCGTTCCTGCGTTCCTCCCACACTCGCTGTGGTCCATCCACTACGTCCCCTCCTCCCCGGCCGAGCCCCGCGGCGCGGCACGAGCGCTGCCCCGAGCTCCCCGTTTTTCGGGGCGGGTGTAACTTTAGCACTGCAATGTTTGCACAGATCTTTTTTTGTAACTGTAGATCCCGAACTGGACTCGATCCTCGTTCCAGTCCTGTATAGAGCAAAAAGTTCAGCATTTGACCGCGTGGAAATAAAACGTGAATTACGCTGATGAGTCAAAGCTTTACAACATTCCCTCGTTTTTTGGTTTTTGTTTTTTTTTTTTTTCAAAAGGCACCAAACTATGCAATCCCTTCCCGCGCTGATCCCCCCCCGCCCGCCACAGGGAGAAGGGAAAAGAGAAAGGGGCAGAGAGGGTGAAAGTGTACTTAACACTGGGGACTCACCTGAAGCCTTATTCTCACAAATACACTAAGGCTTTCTTCTAACGTACAAGTTTTAAAGGTTTAATGTACGTCTAAAAAAACCCAACCCAGCCCCAAAATAAGGCTTTTCCTGTCGGAGATGGCTGCTTTTGGCTTTAAGATAAGCCTTGCCCGGCTGCCAAAGGGGCACTGAAGTGAAGTCGATGCAGGTGGGGTTTTCTTTAGGGTCCCTTTTCCCAGCAGCGTGGGGCCGTGGGGCTGGCATACAGTCGGGGAGGTGTTCAGGGTGAGTGTTTCGGGCGTGCTCTGATCCTGGAGTGATGCAAGGAGGCGAATTTCTCCCTGGGGTTGGCTTCAGGTGCGTTGGATTCACTGCAGGGGCGAGAGCGCACGCGGTCGGTTCCGTGCTGGTGGCTCTCCCCCCGGTCACCCCTGCATCAATCCGTTGGTGTAACCCAAATATCAACAAATCCAAGTGTTTTTTTTTTTAAAAAATGAAACAAAACCCAACTTGGTGTGCGGGGATCGCTTTCTGCCTCTTCTTTTTCCTGTGCCCCAGAGCAGCAGAATCCTTTGGGGGCTGCCGAGAGCGCGAGGAGCGGGGCCGCTCCGTGCCCCCCACCCAAAACCCCAGGCAGGGGAGGACAGAAGGCACAAATCGCTGCTCCAACAGCTCGCTGCCCCTCTCCTGCTGTTTTGGGGAGAATTGTCCCCATTTCGGCCAACCCCAACCCACCTGAGGGGGCCGTGCGGAGCAGCTGGTGTCAGCCAGCTGCCGGAGCTGCTGCTGTTCCTCCTCCTGAGGGTTTTTGGGGGAGAAAAGGGGATTTTGGATGAGTGCTTTGTGCCCACTGCTGATGCCATGGCCCTGCCGGTGAGGTTTGGCCGCGGATCCCCGACGGCCGCAGCCCCGGGACCCTGGGGGTGGAGGTGAGGGGCGAAGTTCCCCCCAAATTAATTCCCCAATTCCCCATTTTGGGGTCGGTTTTGAAGCCCAGCCCCGTGGCTTGTGCTCAATCTGCCGTTTTTATCGCCGTCACTACAGTTAGTAGCTTTTTTTAAGTCAAAACGGGGGAAAAAAACACAACTTCAGGCAAAATTAGGTTTCCAATGAAAAGAGTAAAATAGCAAAGAGTATTTTTTCTACGAAGTGCAGAATCTCAGCTGTTCCCCGAGCATCCCTGAGCCCAAACCTTCCTGCCTTACTCACCGAATCGAGGGAATCGGCCGCGTTTCTTCAGTACTGCTAAGGATTTTTTCAGGTCATTTTTGTTTCCTTTATGGTGAAACTAATGATTGATTTTTTTTTTTCTATGGGACTATTAAATACAACTTATATTTATTGGAAGACATTTACCAACCACCCGTTCCTTTCCGTAACCACGCTAAAGCCCCTGCCCACGCCGTATTTTAGGGTTTTGATGTATTTTAGGGGCTCGATATATTTTTGGTACCTTTTTTTTTTAAGGGGGGTGGGAGGCACCAAACCACCCGAGGGTTTTTCTCCTGCATCTGCCCCGCCGGCGTGCGAAGGAGATGGGGAAGGGGAGGCTGCGACTCGATCCCAAGGTCTCGAAACAAGTGCCCTTAGCGGTGTAACGGGAAGAAATTTTGCTGCCATCGGGACCTGGGGGGTTCTGCGCAGCCTGGCCCTCCTGCAGTAAAAGTCCACGACCCTTTTGGGCCATTTTCGTTTTGTTTTAGCCCCAGCTCCCATCCTGCAGCCTGGGTTTTGGCCCCATCTCGGCCGTCTCGCCCAGGCTCCCCAAACGAGCTCCGTAACATCCCCCAGGGAGGTGTTGGGGGGGGATGCTCCGGTCTTCACCCATCGCACAAGAGGTGACCTGAATTAATTCTGCAACCGTTTATCTGCAAAATCCTTTTTTTTTTTTTTTTTTAAATTAATATCGGGTTGGCGATTTCTACTCCTTGTTCGAGCACTGCTGTACTGAGCACTAGATGGCGCGTTGTAATCGGGCTGTTCACGGCACCCTTCATTTATGCTACCCTAGATTCACTGACAATAAACGACGTTCGACTAATTACCACCGCCGGCGGCCGTGCCTCCTTCCTTCACCTCGGGACGAGCGTCGCCCCCACTCCAGGCCCTTCCACCACATCCCCCCCCCAAATGTTTTTTGGGGACATGTTGGGTTTCTTGGCTTTTCCCATCCATACGGGGAGTTCGGGGAGAATTTCTTCTCTTTGGGTGCTCCCTGGGGGGCTGCTTTTAAAGGGCCCCCCCCCAGCTGCTGCTCCAGCCCTGGTCACGTCCCTCGTTCCCCTTCTGGAGGGGCCTTCCCCCGGTGTTTTGGGGCAGTCAGGCGAAGGATTTAAAACCCACCCGAGGCTTAGCATGGCGTGGTGATAAAATCCAGCTCCTTGCCAACGCCGGCTGCTTCGGTGGGTTCCGAAATTAGGAAAACCCACGGAGCTGCAGCCGGCTCCATCCAGCCCCGGGGCCGTGCACGCCTGCACCCTCTTCCTCCCCGTGGCGCTATTTTGGGGGTGAAACGGGGTTTCTGGGTGCAGGTTTGGGTTCAGAAGGCATCAGCGGGGCGAAGAGCAAAGGTCTGGGTGCAGCAGCTGGATTGATCCCCGCGTGGACTCGCAGGACTTTGGCCAACGCTCGGAGGCTTCGCCCCGGCTCTGGGTGCAGCACCCCTGGATTTTAACCGTGGGGCGTTACGGGGGCGCCCCAGGCTGGGTGGGACGGCTCCGCTCCCTCCTGTGGGGCAGAAAAAAATGCCAATTATTGCAGTTATTGCTCCATCCACCTGCCCCCACGCTGCAGCCAGGCCTGGCTGGGAGCCCGAGGAAGGATTCTGCTGATGGCCCCCAGCCCCATGCCTCCCTTTCGGGGACGTCCCGGGGGTGTCCTGGTGCCATCGAGCTCCCCACATTTTGGAGCTGCTTCTAAACCCCAAAGCAGGCTGCTCCCAAACTTTGTGCCCTTAATAATGCAAATTGGGGGGTGTTTGGGGTGTTTGCTGGCTGGGGGATGCGGGGTGAGGTTTTGGGGCCGGTTGGAAACGTGCCGTGGTGCTCCCGGGCGCTGAGAGCCCCTGTGGGGTCAGGGGAGCTCAGAGCAGGTTCCTGCGGGGTTTCTTTGCCTCCCCCCAGCCCCTAGAGCAGTGGGATTTTTTTTTATTCTTGCCCTTGGCACTTTCCTTTCCTCCCAGGGCCGTGCTCAGCGCCACGTCGGTGCCGGCTCGCCAATTTTCCTGCAGCTTTCGGGGCAGCCCCACGGCCCGGGCTGACCCCGAGCTGGCGCAGAGGCTGCCCCAGCGCCGATCCCTGGCCTTGGAGCCGATTCCTGGCCCCAAGCCCCGCAGGAAATTCTTCTCATCCGCAAGGTGCTGGAGCTGGGGACCCATCCAAGCCCCCCCCCCCGGGGGCCCTGGGGCTGTGCTGCCGGGTGATTTTCCTACAGGTGGAAAATTGGGGTGCACGACGCTGAGGCTCCCCCAAAAAGCTGGAGGCAAAAAGGGCCCCAAATAGGATTTTAGTGCTCCCACGCCTTCCCAAGGTTTAGCCGGTGCCAGTTCTTGGATCTTGGCCACCCCAATCCTGCCCTGGCCAGAGGGGCTGAGCCAGCGGGGTTGGCTTTTGGGGTCCCCGGGGGTTCCACCTGCTGCCGGGAGCGGGGTCAGGACCCCCGGAGCCCCCCAGAGCCCCCCGAGGGGGGCCCACGCGGTGCCGCTTGGCACGGCCCGGCCAGCGGCGGCTTTTCCGGGGTTGGGAGGGGATGGCGATGCCTCAGCGATGAGTCACGGAGCGCCTCGATCCTCCCCGGCACCGCCGCTTGGCCTCCGTGGGGAGCCCACGGGAGCCTCGGGGTGCCCCCGGGGGAAGGTGCGGGGACGGGACGGGGGCACCCGAATGGGACCGGGTGAATCCCGGCTGTGCACGAGTCCCCTGTGGGGTTTGGGGAGCTGAGTGCCCTTCCTCCGGCTCCTTATGGGGTGTGGGGAGCTGAGCATCCCCTGCTGCAGCCCTTATAGGGTTTAGGGAGCTGCGTGTCCTCCCCCCAGCACCGTGAGCCCCCTGTGGGGTGCCAGGAGCTGGGCACCCCCCTCTGGCACCAGTGATGCCTTTTGGGGTGCTGGGAGCTGCAGGTCCCCCCCGCACGTCCCCAGTACCTGGCGTCCCTTCTCCAGTGCATCCCCCCAGCACCAGGCATCCAGGGAGCCGCGTGCCCCCCCCCAAGCACCAGGCATCACTTTTGGGGTGCCAGGAGCTGTGTGTCCCCTGCGCCCCCAGCACCCCGCATCCCTTTGGGGGTTCAGGGAGCCGTCACCCCCCCATGCCCCCCAGCACCCCACATCCCTTTGGGGGTGCCAGGACCTTGCTCGGAGCCCCCCCCATGCCCACGGGGGGGCTCCCCCTGCCCTCCCCACCCCATTCATTGAACACCTTCCCCCCCCCCTTCCAATACCGCGGGGGGAAACTGAGGCTGGCGGCGAGCCCCGCGCTGCCGCCGCCGCCTCCGCTCCGCCCTGGCCTCCCGCTGCCAGGAGCCGGCCTCGCTCGGGGAGCGGAGGCCGCGGGATGCCGGGGGGGCCGCGGGCGGCCGAAACGGGGCGGTTGCTGCCTCCTCGGGTTCCCCGCTCTCCTTCCCGGCCCTTTCCCGTCCCGCCCGGGCGGGCAAAGTCCTCCGCCATGAACGGGGAGAGGGGAGGCAGCCGCTCGGCCTTCCCCGGCCTCCCAGGTAGGAGCCTCCACCGCCGAGCCTCCGCCGGCCGCGGGCAGGTGGCCGGATGCCGGGGGCCTCCGCGGTGCCGGAGCCTTGGGGTCGCCAAGGGGGGCACGGGGGGGAGGCCGGGGACACGGGGACCGATGGCAAGGGGGGTGTTAGGGGGGGTCACCTACAGCCTGCAGAGACCCCCCCTGGGTGTGGGGGGTGTGGTGGGGGGCATGGGGGGGGCACCACCCCCGTGAGCCCCCTCCTCGCCGGAGGCCAACCGGCCCCGTCCCGCAGGGGAGGTGGTGCTGGAGGAGGCTGCGGGCGTGCGGCTGCGGTGCCGTGAAGGGGACGGCTCCGTGCCGGGCACCTTGGTCTGCACCAACCTCCGCGTCGCCTTCCTGGCCGCCCCCGGGCACGGCGTGCAGGTGGGGACCCCCCCGTGACCCCCCCCAAAAAGACCCCTGAGAGCTCAGCCCGGCTGCATCCCCTCCACCCCGACCCCGACCTCGCTGCCTCCTGGTCCCAAACGCTCCCGGTCCTGACCCTCTGCTGGTTGCAGCCCCGTCCCCAGCCAGCCCCAACGCGGCCGTGTCCCGATCCCGTCTCGGCTGCATCCCAGCCCCGGCCCCAGCACATCCTGACCCCGTCCTGCTTCGATCCCAGTGGAATCCTGGCCCCATCCCGACCCCAAACCCAGCCCCATCCCGACCCCAATCCCAAACCCATCCTGACCCCAAACCCAGCCCCATCCCAACCCCAATCCCAGCCCCATCCTGACCCCAGCCCCATCCTGACCCCACACTGATCCCATCCCGGCTGCACCCCTGCTTCACCCCATCCCCATCCCGGCCATGTTCCCGACCCCATCCCCGTCCCCCCCCCCCCTCCTTGGACACAGAACCACGATCCCCATTCCCCCCCCCACCCGGGGAACTCCTCGCTGCAGGACCGAGGGGGGGGCACAGGGGCTGCCGCGGGTCACGGCACCGGCTGGACAGAGGCCGTGGGGTCCCAGCTGCAGCCCCGCTGCCTTTTTGGGGTACGGGGGTGGCTCCCCAAATCCCCAAATCCCCAAATCCCCTGCAGCCTCCCGGCTCCGTCGCCCCGCTGCAGAGCGAGCACAACGTGGCCCTGCCTTGCATCCGCAAGCTGGTGGCAGGTAAAGGACCGGGAGGGGGGAAACAGCACCCAAATGGGACAAATGGGGTTGGGGGGGGGGGCTCGGTGGGCCCTGACGGCCGCCCCCATCCCGCCGCAGGCAGCAGCTTCACCAAGGCCAAGGTGCTGACGGCCGCCTCCACCCTCAAGTTCATCCCCGAGGAGCTGCTGATTTTCTGCCGGGATTTCCGCCTGCTGCGCTTCCACTTCCACGAGAACGGGCTGGCACCCCAGGCGTACCGGGTGAGCTGGGGGGGGGCGACCCCGGGTTTAATTTTAAGGGGTGGGGGGCTCACGCGCCGTCCCCGTCCCCTCGCTCCTCTCTGCAGTTGGCCAACGCCATCGCCAAGGCGCGGGAGACGGCCACGTGGCCATGGGACAGCGGGGACAGCAGCTCCTGGGCAGAAACCAAGCCGGAGGAGGAGGAGGAGGATGAAGAAGAGGAGGAGGAGGAGGAGGGTGATGATGAGGAAGGCTCGGCCCCCACCCTGCTCTTCGAGAGCCTCCCCGACTGGGAGAAGGAGCTGAAGCGCCAGGGCGCTGCGGGCTGGAGGGTGAGCGCCATCAACGAGCGCTTCGACATGGCCCCCAGGTAGGGCTCCAAGGGGCTGCCGGTCCCCACCCCGCTTTTTGGGGGTGGGGGGCACCCACCCCACACCCCCCCCGCCCCCCAATTTGCCCACAGCCTGCCCCGCTACCTGTGGGTGCCCAGCGGGCTCCTGGACCACGACCTGAAGCGGACGTTCGCCCACTTCGAGGAGCGCCGCGTGCCCGTGAGTGCCGGGGCGGGAGGGAGGAATTGGGGTGCTGCCGAGGGAGGGGTGACCTGGGGGGTGTCCCCCTGTCCCCCCCCCCGTCCCCGTCTCGCCCGCAGCGGCTGTGCTGGCACCACCCGGGCGGCAGCGACCTGCTGAGATCCGCCGGCTTCCACGCGGCTTCGGAGCCGGGCAGCGAGGACGTGAGGTGAGCCCCCCCTGACCTTGGCGAGGATTTTGGGGCCGGGTTGTGAAGTTTCGGGGATGCTTCCCAGCCCGAGGAGAGGACGGGGAGGGGGTAAATTTTCCGTGTCCCCCCCCCTCACCCAGGTGCCTGGAGGCGCTGCTGCGTGCTGGCCACGGGCCGTGCGTGCTGGCCGACACCGCCGAGCTGCCCACCCTGGCCGACATCCAACTCGCCCACCTCAAGCTGTGGGCGCTCTGCCTGCACGGTGAGAGGGGGACGGGGACATTGGGGGGTTCCCCAAAGCTCATTCTGGGGTTTTGGGGCATGGGGGGGGACACCCCAAGGCTCCACGCTCTGCCCTGACCCCCCCCTCCTTTTGCCCGCACGGCGCAGGCGCGGCGCCCGAGGAGAAGTGGCTGTCGGCGCTGGAGGCGACGCGCTGGCTGGACCACGTGCGGTGAGCTTGGGGCAATTTTGGGGTGTGGGGGAAAACCCGACCCTAAAAATTCTCCCCCCCCCCCCCCGTTTGGCCCCCCACCCCGTTTCGGGGTCCCCCCATCACCCCCAGCAGCCGCAGGGCGACGAGGTGCCACGGCGGAGGGGTGGATACCCCAATCCCACGGTTTGGAGGGGGGGGTAGAGACCCCCCAGGCAGGTGGGGGCAATATTTTGGGGTGCCCTGACCCCCCCCTGCACCCCTCTTCACCCCAGCGCCTGCTTGAGGAAAGCCGTGGAGGTGGCATCGCTGCTGGCGGGGCGCCGCTGCTGCGTCCTCCTGCAAGGTAGAACCGGGCGGCGCGGTGAGACGGATCGGGGGGGGGGCACCCCAAAAAAAAAACCCAAAACCACCACCCCCTTAATTTTTCACCATTCCAGAACCTTCCGACCGCGACCTCAACTGCCTGCTGGCCTCCCTGGTGCAGCTCCTGGCCGACCCCCACGCCCGGACCCTCCCCGGTTTCCAGAGCCTGGTGCAGCGCGAGTGGGTCGCCGCCGGCCACCCCTTTCCCCGCCGCCTCGGGCTGCGGCGCGGCAACCCCCGGGAGGAGGTGGGCGACCCCAAAAAAAACCTTAAATCCATCTGAAATCCCCCAAATGAGATGGGGGGGTGACGGGTTGGTTGGGACCCCCCCAGGCGCCGGTGTTCCCGTTGTTCCTGGACTGCACGTGGCAGTTGGTGCGCCAGTTCCCGGCGGCTTTCGGCTTCACCGAGGCGTTCCTGCTGGCCCTACACGACGGCGCCTTCCAGCCCTACTGCGGCACCTTCCTCTTCACCTGCCAGCGCCAACGGGGCCGCGGCGGCCCGGTGAGCGGGGTCAGGGGCTCGGCGACCCCCCCGAAACCCCTCCATAAGGTTTAGGGGGGCTGGGAATCCTCCTCGCCCCCCCAAAGCGGCCGCATCCAGCTCGCGGTTGGCGCCGTGCCTCGGTTTCCCCATCCGTGCCCTAAATTCACCCCCCCTTTCCCCAAATTTTTTTGGGGTTCACCCCGTTATTTCTCCCCTCCCCGCAGCAGCAGCCCCGCGGCCAGACCTACACGCCGGTGAACGGCTGCTGGGACCCCCCCGCAGGCAGCCGCCTGCCCCCAGTTTGGGACTGGGCGCTGCGCTACAGCCCCCAGCAGCGGGCGAGATTTCGGAACCCGGCGGGGGGGGGCGGCACCCTGAGCCCCCAAAACACCGGGGACCCCGAAACCACGGCCACGGTGAGCTGGGGGGGGTCTGGGGGGGGAGTGCTCAAGGCTCCCCCCTGCATTTTTTTCCCCATTTTCCCTAACCCCCATTTTTCCACCCCCTTTTTCCCTAACCCCTTTTTCCCCCCATTTTCCCCAACCACCAACTTTTCCACCCCTTTTTCCCCTAACCCCTCGTTTTTTCCCCCATTTCCCAGCCCCCCGATTCCTGGCCAGGCGGGGGGGCCGGGAGGTGTTGGCGTTGGCCAAGGGCTCGCTGTGCCCCCAGCCCCTCCCGTGGCGCAGCGGCCGCCCCCCCCCCCGGTTGCTGCGCTGGGCCCCCTCCCTGGAGAGCCTCAGCGAACGGGGGGGGGGCTCTGGGGGCAGCCCCATCCCCGAGCCCCCCCGGGGGCTGCTCCTGCCCTGCGCCGCGGGACCCTCGGTGCGGCTCTGGCGTCGCTGCTACCTGCGGGGCCTGCCCGAAAGTCAGGTGGGGGGGGGGGGGAAATGGGGTTGGGGGGGGAAAAAGGGGGTTTAGGGGGGGAAAAGGGGATCTGGGGGGGGGGAAGAAGGGGGATGGGGGGGGAAAAGGGGGCTATGAGGGGGAAAAAGGGGGGCTGGAGGGGGGCTGGGGGGGGAAAGGGGTCTGGGGGGGGAAAAAGGGGGCTATGGGGGGGGAAAAGGGGGCTGGGGGGGGTCTGGAGGGGGGAAAAAAGGGGCTGGGGGGGGGAAAGGTGGGGAAAAAGGGGGCTGGGGGGGAAAAGGGGGCTATGGGGGGGAAAAAGGGTCTGGGGGAGGTCGGGGGGGGGAAAGAGGGGGATGGGGGGAAAAGGGGTTTGGGGGGAGAAAAGGGGGCTATGGAGGGGGTCGGGGGGGGGGAAAGGGGTCTGGGGGGGTCTGGAGGGGGGAAAAAAGGGGCTGGGGGGGCAAAAAGGGGGCTGGGGAGGGGAAAAAAGGGGCTGGGGGGGGAAAAAGGGGGATAGAGGGGGTCTGGGGGGGGGGGGGAAAGGGGGCTGGGGGGGAAAAAGGGGGCTGGGGGGGTCCGGGGGGTGCTGGGGGGAGAAGTGGGGGGAAAGTGAGTCATGGGGGGGGAAACTGGGTCACAGGGGGGGAAAATTGGGTTATGGGGGGGGGAACTGAGTTATGGGAGGGGGGGAATTGGGTCCCTAGAGGGGAACCTGAGTCCCGGGGGGGCTGCACAATGCTGGGGCCCCCAGGTGGGTGCCCCCCCAAGGGTCTCCCTGTCTCGGATCAGATTCCTGCCCCCCCCCCAACCTGTGCAGGACGGGGTTTTGGGGTCCCACCCTGCCCCCCGTGTCCGTCTGTCTGTCCTAACGGGTGCCCCCCCCCGTCCCCCCCCCCACAGCACGGCCGCTTCGCCCCCTCCCCGGCCGGGCTGGCGGAGGAGCTGACGCTGCTCCAGGACCGCCTCAGCGCCTGGCAAGCCCAGGGACCCCGCACCAGGGCCGCCGGCAGCCCCCTGGCACCGTCGCGATAAGTCGCGACAGCGGCGGGACAGAGCCGGCCCCTCACGGGGGGGTGACCCCAAGGCTCCCCTATGGGTTTTTTTTGGGGGGAACAGCCCCCAAAGCGCCTTGTGGCCTCTCTACTGCTGCCTCCCTGCTCCTTGCCGGGGCTCCTGGGGCTTTTTGGGGCTGGGGACAGCTTTTTGGGGCTGTTTTGCAGCGTTTTGGGGCCAGCGCTTGCTTTTTGGGGCCGTCGCAGGCTTTTTGGGGCCAGCGTTTGCTTTTTGGGGCTAACGCAGGCTTTTTGGGGCCAGTTCCTGCCACGCTGCTCCCCGGCTGCTCTGGAAGAGGCTGAGCACCCCAGGGGTGCCGCGGGCACCCCGGCACAGCCGATTTCCCCTTTTTTTGCCTTAAAATCCTTGCTACCTCCACGTGCCTCGGGGCTGGGCTAACCACCCCGGGGCCTGCGCCTCCAGCCCCGCCGCGGGGTCGCTTTGCTCCCAGAGGGGCCGAGCTTTGCTGGGGGCCCAGCGCCACGCCCCTGTCGGCGACACACTGTCGCGATATGGGAGGGGCGGGGACCCCAGGGCTTGGCTGGGCTGCCGGGGCTGTGAAGAGGAAAAGGGGGCTCTGAGCGCCGGCAGCCCCCGGCCGTGCACTTTTATCGAGGTTTGTGTCGGGATCTCGCCCGCACGCGGCGGTTTGCACTTTTTATCGCGATTTATGTCGGGGAGCTCAATAAAGCGGCTCTGCGGGCACTGCGGCGTGGCTCTGAGTGAACGACCCGGGCTGGGGGCTCTGGGCTGGGGTGGGGGTGCCCGGTCCCAGCCGCGCTGCCGGCCGCGGGGCCGATATCGCCGCCTATCGCGGCGGGGCTATCGCGACATAACAGGCCCGGCCCCAACATGGCGCCGACGCCATTTCCGGCCGGCCGCGAGGGGGCGGGGCTAGCGCCTGGCGCTGACGTCACGGCGCGAGGCGCTGCGTAGCGTTACGTAGCTTACGTTACGTAAATCACGTTCCATAGATTGCCTTGTGCTGCGTTACGCATGTTACGCAGCGTTGCCCTACGTAGGTTACGTTACATGGGTTACCTTTTGTTGCATTACGTAGATTACGTTACATGCGTTCCGTTACGCAGTTTAAACGGGCTGAACTACGTAGTTTGCGTTACATGTGTTACTTTGCGCTGCGTTACGTAGATTACGTGACGTATGTCACATTTTGCACCGTTACGCCGTTTACTTTCCGCTGCGTTACGCAGCTTGCGTTGCGCGGCTCCCATCGCGCTGCGTTACGTAGATCGCGTAGACTCCCGGCCGTCGCGTTACGCTGCTTGCGTTACGCGCCTGGCGTCACCCCGCGCTACGCAACTTGCGTTGCGCCGCGTTACGTAGTTTCCGTCCCGGCGGCGGGAGCGGGCCAAGATGGCGGCGGGGCCCATCTCGGAGCGGAACCAGGGTGAGCGGCGGGGACCGGGAGGGGAGCGGCAGCGGGGGCCGGGGGGAGGTCGACGGGGGCTGGGCACCTTCAGCTCCCCCTCACGGTTCACCCTCGGGGGGTCCCGGGCTCGGGAGGCCGAGCTGCGGCGCCCCGCTAGGCCGCGGCCTACCCCCGCCGCCGCCTCCTCCTGACGGGGCGCTCGCTCTGTGCCCCCCTCAGACGCCACCGTGTACGTGGGGGGCCTGGACGAGAAGGTGAGCGAGCCGCTGCTGTGGGAGCTCTTCCTCCAGGCCGGGCCCGTGGTCAACACGCACATGCCCAAGGACCGGGTCACCGGGCAGCACCAAGGTGAGGGGGTTCCGGGGGGGTTGGGGAAGGGCGAGCTGGGGCTGAGAGGGGGGGTGCTGGGGGGCAACAGGCCTGCGGGGGGGTGGGGAGGGTGGATTGAGGGTAACAGGGTGAGGTTTAACGCGGCCAAGTGCTGGGTGCTGCTCTTGGGGCACAGGGACCCTGTGTAGGGCTGCGGGGTGGGGGCAGGGGGGCTGGAAATGGGGCAGAGGGAAAGGGGAAAGGGGAAAAGGGGCTGGGGGAGTTGGTCAGCAGCATGCCCAGGTGGGCAGGAAGGCCAGCGGCATCCTGGTTGTGTCAGGGGTAGTGCAGGAGCTCTGATCTAACACCAACAGCCCTCCGCTAAACCATATCCCTAAGCTCTACATCTAAATGGCTTTTAAAGACCTCCAGGGATGGAGACTCCACCACTTCCCTGGGCAGCCCGTCCCAATGCCTCCCAACCCTTTCTGTAAAGAAGTTTTTCCTCAGATCCAACCTAAACCTCCCCTGGTGCATCTTCAGCCTGTTCCCCCTCATCCTGTGAGGCCGCACCTGGGGTGCTGCGCTCAGTTTTGGGCCCCTCACTGCACGAAGCACATCGAGGCCCTGCAGGGAGGTGGAGGGAGGTGAGGGGTGGGTGCTTGGCAGGGCAGATCGCTGCTCTTGGGCTCTGTTTTTAAAACAAGCAGGGTTGGAGGCAGCAGGGAGCAGCCCGAGGCCGTGCTTCTGCCCCTTCCTAAACCCTCTGCCTCGTTGCAGGCTATGGGTTCGTGGAGTTCCTCAGCGAGGAGGACGCGGATTACGCCATCAAGATCATGAACATGATCAAGCTGTACGGGAAACCGATCCGCGTCAACAAAGCCTCGGCCCACAACAAGAACCTGGACGTGGGGGCCAACATCTTCATCGGCAACCTGGACCCCGAGATCGACGAGAAGCTGCTCTACGACACCTTCAGCGCCTTCGGGGTCATCCTGCAGACGCCCAAAATCATGCGGGACCCCGACACGGGCAACTCCAAGGGCTACGCCTTCATCAACTTCGCGAGCTTCGACGCCTCCGACGCCGCCATCGAGGCCATGAACGGGCAGTACCTCTGCAACCGCCCCATCACCGTCTCCTACGCCTTCAAGAAGGATTCCAAGGGCGAGCGGCACGGCTCGGCAGCCGAGCGCCTGCTGGCAGCCCAAAACCCCCTCTCGCAGGCGGATCGGCCCCACCAGCTCTTCGCCGACGCCCCCCCTCCGCCCTCGGTCCCCACCCCCGTGGTCACCTCGCTGGGCCCCGGGGTCACCCCTCCGGGTGGGTAGGGGCGGTGGGGAGGGGTTTCTGCGCCCTGTTGGGGGGGAAGGAGGGGGTTTGGGGGCTGTTTTGGGGCTCCCAGGGGGGTTTGTGGCAGCAGTGGGCTGCAGAGTGGGCTGGGGAGGGGTTTTGGGGGCAGCAGGTCCCTGGCACCCACCCGGCTCAGCACCCAGTGGTCGGATCCTGAGCTCCTGCTTCACCCCGAGGGTTTTTTTGGGTGTTTTCTGGTCATTTTCTGATCGTTTTCTTGTCGCTGTGGCCGTTTGTGTGTTCAGTCTCCTCCCCAGTTGCCCGTTTTTGTTGTTTTTTTGTTCCTTTTTTTAACTTTTTTCATGCTGCACCCAACCGAACCCTCTCTCCTTCTCTCTCTTTCAGGCCTCCCCCCCCCAGGATCGTTCCCCCCGCCGGTGCCTCCCCCCGGAGCGCTGCCCCCCGGCATGCCCCCTGCCATGCCGCCCCCCCCGATGCCACCAGGAGCAGGAGCCCCCGGCCCCCCCTCGGGGGCTGCACCCAGCGGCGGGCACCCCCCTCACCCTCACCCCTTCCCCCCCGGCGGGATGCATCACCCAGGTAAGCTGTGAGCTCGGGAAGCCCAAATCCCTTTCTGCTGCGGGGTGCCCTTGCGTAAATCCCCCTTCTGCTTTCTTCCCCGAGGTGTTTTTTGGGGTAAAAGGGGGAAAAATCAGCTGCTGTGCGTGGTGTGGCCGTGGTAGAGAGCTCGGGGGGGAAGATCCACAGTTGGCTGCTGAGCAGCAGCCTGAGCTCCCCAGGCTGAAAGGTGCAGAAATAACTCGGTGGGGTTTTCGGGAGGTAATTTAGGGGATAATTCCCTCCTTGATTTGATTTCCCTTGAGCTGCCGAGGCGAAAATGAGACCGGGTTCATCTTCAGGAGTCCCCGGTGCTGTGCTGGGAGGCTGCAGAGGAGGCTCCGAGGCGTTTTTGTTTTCCTCCAGCTCTTGATTCCTGCGTGAGGTGTGAACCTCCCCGGCGCAGCCTGCGGCTCCGCCAGCCGGGAGCTCGTTGGAGCGGCGAGAACAAAATGTTTTCTCTGCTTCCCTCCCATTTTTAGCCCCAGACATCCAGGCTGCAGTCTGGAGCGCAGAAATTCAGGGAAATTGGCGTCGGTTTGAGAAAAAGATGGGGGAAAAAAAGAACCCTGCTTGAATTTCTTCTCCTCCTGCTTGAATTTCTTCTCCTCCTGCCTGCTCTCGAGCAGCCCCTGGCTCGGGAGCGTGGTCAGGGCTGATTAGGGCGCTCTGTGAGCAGCTGGCTGCTGCTCTCCCCGACCTCAAGCTGCTTTTCTAGCCTTTAGCCAGCCAATTACCCTCGGCAGGCTGCCCTGCAGAGCTGCATCAGGCTCTCGGGCTCCTCAGGAGGAAAGGATTTGTGGATTGGGGTGAAAAAGGATAAAATCGTAGGGAAACAACAAAAAACAGAGGGTGGGAGGGACGCAGCCACGCCGAGCACGTTTTGAGGTCGTTGCTGGGGGCCCTGCCTGAGACCCCCGAGGGGGGTGGTTTCTCTCTGAACCCTTTTTAAGGGCTGCACCGTGCTTGCTGGCAAGATTTCACGTTTTTATTTCCTCTCCAAGCGCTATTTCCTCCACTTTATTCCTCAGAACTCGCCCCCTGCATTGAGGCAGAGCTTTTTGCCCCCCCCCCATTTGGTTTTGATAGCAGAAAACTCGACGTGGATTCTCCGCCTGATGTTTTAACCCTCACGAGCTCCCTTTTTCCCCCTTTCTAACCCTTCTTTTCCCCTTTTTTTCCCCCCAGGAATGCCCCCCATGCAGGTGCACCACGGCCCCCCCGGCATGGGCCAGCACCACCCAGGACCCCCGGGCTCCGGAGGGCAGCCCCCGCCACGCCCCCCGCCTGGCATGCCGCACCCCGGCCCCCCTCCCATGGGGATGCCGCCCCGAGGACCTCATTTTGGGTCACCCATGGGTAAGTGGGACCCCCCCGAGAGGCTGCTCAGGGGATTTGGGGATTTGTGGTGCCCTCTGGTGCTGCTTCCTTGCGGGGAGGTGTCTGGGGGCTCTGAGGGGGGGTTTTCCTCGGATTCCCTGCGGTGTGGGGCTTCTCCTGCAGGAGGCAGGGCTGCCTGGGGGAGTTTTTCCCGTTTTCCAAGGGGGGAAGTTTAAAAAAGGGGGGGTGCTGAGCGCTGCTGTGTCCTTTAACCCTGTCTGGGGGTCCTGGGGGGGCAGCAAGGGGCAGCCTCGTGGCCCTCAGAGCTGGGCACCTGCCTCAGGGAATGTGGGGGATAAAACCCATCATTATGGCACAAAAAGACGCTGCCCAGTGCTGAATTTTGAGGTTTGGGGTCATCCCTGGGGGGGTGACACACACGAGGGGCGGCTCCGCTGGGTGTTTTTGGGTGTTTTTGGGGTGTTTTTGGGGTGTTTTGGGGCGTTTTTGGGTGTTTTCTCCAGCCAGGCAGCCCCATGTGGCGAGGATCCCCCCCCTGAACCCCCCCAGGGTCGCAGTCAGGGTGCTCCCACCAACCTGCGGGCCAGGGGTGGGGCCAGCACCCAAGGGTGGGGTTTTGGGTGGGGTTTTGGGTGGGCTGGGCGGGTGCTGACCCCTTTGCTCTGTCCCTCCAGGTCACCCCGGCCCCATGCCTCACCACGGGATGCGCGGCCCCCCTCCGCTGATGCCTCCCCACGGCTACAACGGCCCCCCTCGCCCCCCACCCTACGGCTACCAGAGGGTCCCCCTGCCCCCCCGGCCCGCCCAGAGGCCCCCCGGGGTGCCCCCGCGGGGTCCCTTGAGGGGCCCCCTGCCCTAAAAGCAGAAGCTTCCTGCTGGGACTTGCTCCCTCCCCATCCTCAGCCCTCCGTTCCCCCTTGGACTGAGGTGTTCGTGCCCGGGAGGCGTCGCTGGGTCCATCCCCGCCACAGCTCCCCCCTCTTTTTTTTATTCCCCCCATCTTTCCCCCCGTTTCTTTTTATAGTGTTCATTTTGGTCGTTTTTTTTCCCTCCTCCCTCCTTTTAACTCCACCCGGAAGATTTTTCGCGGGATTTTTAACGGGATTTTGTTTTTTATGTGAAGCCCATTTACCAATAAACCCTCTGACGAGCAGGGGGCCGTCCCTGCCTCGGCTGCTGCCTGCCCTTTCCTTGCTCGTCCTGATGCTCTGCGTCCCGGTGAGGTGCTGAATCGGGGCTGAAGCCCCCAATCTCCTGCTCCCCCCTGGGCTGTTTGCTGCTGGCTGACGTGCTCCAGCCCCAAAACAGCCAAAAATGCATGAGGAAGCCCTAAAATCCGCTGCGTCCTCGGATGTTTGTGCCAGAGCGCCCAGGTAAACGGCCACGCCATTTGGAGGAGAGATTAGGCAGTGAAACCTGCTCTCCCCAGTCCTTCCCTGCTGAGATCCCCGTTTTGATACCGCTCACGGCCACGGGAAACCACTCCAGCTGCGGGTTTGGGGATGATATAACCCACAGGGCAGCAAAATTTGGGGGTGAGCGGGCTCTGGGGGGCAGGAGGTGGAGCAGGTCCGGTCCCTGCGTTGTCTCCGTGCGCTCCGGGTTCTTTTTGGCTATAGGGACTCTTCTCAGGGGAGCTGCCGTGGCTCTTCCTTCTGCAGAGAAGCCGTCTCGTTTCCAGCCCTGCTTTTCCTCTCTGCTGGTTGCTTTCTGCTTCGTTTGAACTTCCTAGGGCTAAAGCTGACCTTTAGCTCCCATCTCTGGTCACCCTCGTGGGCCGAAGAGAAAGAACGGTGCCGTGCTTCTCCTCGCAGTCACGGGGTCGCTCGGGACGTGCCTGTGAGGTCTGGAGAGATCCAGACCCTGCTGGGGAGGCAACAAAACCGCTCTGCGAATTTCGTGTCACCTTCGAGGCAGGAGGCCCTCCGAGTGCTGCCTGCGCTGCGCGGCTCCGGCTCCTCCACCTGCGCCAGGAGGAAAAGGAAAAAGAAAACGGTTTCACAGCTATCGCTTCGAGGAACGGAGCTGAAGGGGGAGGAGGAGATGTCTCAGGTGTAAATCAGCAGTAAATCCTCGCTGGTTAAGAGGCCAGAAGCTGCCAAGGGCTCTGCTGCTTGCTCCTGAGCAGCCGGCAGCTGGGCTGGAGGTGTTTTTTTTTCCTTCCTGATGAGCTCTGTTTACCACACGCCCGCTGTTTGGACCGCTCTGCCCAGGCGTGGGGCTGTCGTTTTGCCTTCCCCGCTGTGGTCTGCGTGCCGAAGGAGCTCCGCCGCGTGTCCTGACGTTCCCCCAGCCCCAGCTCTCTCACCTCCAGGCCTGCAGAACGTGGCTGCAAGAGCTGAAATCTGAAATCCAAACGCTTCAAACGACAAGCGCCGAAACCCCCCCGCTGCGGGCGATGGGTGCAGGGGAGGACGCGTTAATGCAGTGTGGAAAAACACCTCTGAAGGCGAGGAGACCCTAAGGGAGTGAATTTGAAGGGCTGTGGGGTTTGGCTTCTGGGGTTTAGCTTGCGATGGGTGCGGAGGAGCCGAGAGGGCCACCCATGGGTGCTCGACCTGCCTGCGGAGAGCTGGGTGCAGAGAGCAAACGGCAGCCGTGATTTCACTGCCAATGTTTGGGTGACCAAAGCCCAAAATCCCCGCCAGCTCCCGTGGTTGTGAACGTGTTCCTGGAGGGGCAGAGGATCGCGCCAGGGAGGGAGGCAGCTCGCCAGCCATCGATCAGACCTCGACGCGGGCCACGAGCGAGGTGGCTCGCTCGCTCCTGCGCCGGGGTGACCTTGGCAGCCTCCTGCGAGGCTCAGCACCACCTTCAGCCGCTTTCCCCGTGCCACCTCCTCCTGGGAGCTGCCTCCCGAGCAGCGGGGCTGCTGAATGCAGGAGCTCCAGCCCCGGATTCAGCCCTCGCTGCTGATTTGGGGCCGTCGGCAGCGCAGCCCTCGGCTTTCGTTTCGTCGCCACCTTCGCCTGCCGCGCTGGTTAAGCCTCTGCAGTGTGTGTGTGTGTGCAGGGAGGGAACGGCTTCTATTTTAATAGCTGTTCCTGGCAAAAAGGAAAAAAAAGATGCCTTTATGCCTTTTTTTTCTCCCTCCAGTGAACTGTCAGGGTGGGGAAGAGCCCTGCTCCAGCCCAGGTGGGTCCTGGGGGGGACCCCAAGAAACCAGCACGTCCCAGAAGGAGCCACCGTGCCCCGGGACATCACTCGAGCGCAGCCACCAGAGCCCACCTTGGGTTTTATCCCCTCGTGCCCGCCTTTTTTAGGCCTTGGTAAAGGAGAAAGGCTGAGAAGCAGCAGCTGGGGGGAGAGGGACAGGCCCCCCCCCGGCCCTGCTGCAGTGCGTGTCGCTTTTCTTTTTTCACACGGGAGCCTCGGGGCTGAGCACGAGCTCCCGGCTGCTGCGCCGAGGGGAAGGGGACGCGGTGGCAGCGTGGCACATGAGTCAGAGCTCGGTGGGACGTGGCACCCCGAGGGAGCAGCGCTCACCCAGCACATTTTGGGAGAGCCCCCCCACTGCCAGAACCAGCCCTGGCTGGGCTGAAGCCCCCCCCCCCCCCCCTTAGCTCAGCCCCGTTCCCTGTTGTAGGATGGTTCCCATCAGGGGCTCCTTTGGTTGTGGGGCTTTTCCCAAATCCTTCCCCAAACCCCATTTCCCCACTCCCCAACCCCGTTGGCCTCCTGCAGAGCCCGTCCAGGTGCTCGAGCTGCCCCTCGCCCTGCTCCTTTTGGCCTTCGGCCTCGCTCGTACCCCGAGCTCCTCGGCCTCGTAGCAGGAGGACGGGGTCCTGCTGAGGGTCCTGCTGGGTGCTGAGACCTGCCCAGCTCATTGCATGAGGGAAGGAGCAGAGGGGGGAGCGGGGGGAGCAGGCACGCCCCCCCCCAGCTCACTGCACAAGGGGGGGGAGCAGGCATGGCTTTTTGGGGTCCCCCCAAAAAGAGGGAGACCCCCTCCTGGGCACCCTGCGTCCCCCAAGAGGGAGCTGGGTTATGTTTTTTTTTTTGGGGTGGAGTGCTACAGAGCTGATTTCACCCCCCCTGGGGCAAATCCTTCACCGGGGGGGGGGGAATTTGGGGTTTGGGCACCCCCCACCTCCCCCCCCCCCCAGTGCCTACGCTCCTCCCAGCGCCGTCGGGAGCGTTTGTGCTGCATCACGACGGGAGGGCCTCGCGCGGCCCCGTCCAGGCGGACAAAATTTGATCGGAAGAAATCGAAATCCCCCCCCCCATCCATTCCCCCCCCCCCCCATCCCCCCGGAGGAGGACGTGACTCAGATTGTGTGCGTGTGTTGGGGAGGGGGGGTTGGCAGCACCTCGCACCCCGTTACGACCCCCCCCTTTTCCCCTCCAGCCCCTCGGAGCACGGGAACCCCTCTCCCTTGGGATCTCCCTGGGGGTGTCGGAGCATCGCCGCCCTCCTCGCGCCTTGGCGAAAAAACGAAGAAGGGAGAGCCCCCCCCCAGCCCTGCATCGCTGGTAGCTGTAGCACGGCCCCCCCCCTCCCTCTTGCTGCCTCCCTTCTTGCAATGGACTCTCCCAGCGCTCAGCGTGTGTGGCGGAGGCTGCGGCGTTAGCGCTGGTACCCGCGAGCTGTTTTCCTGCCACATCCCTGCCGGAGCATCCTCCCGCCACCGGAGAGGAGAGCGGGGCCGCAGCAGCAGGTAAGGGGGAGAGAAAGGAGAAAAAAAAAGGAGAAAAATGGAGAAAAAGGAGAAAAGGAGAAAAAAGGAGAAAGGGCTTCGGGGAAGGGGATTGCCTTCCTCCTCCTCCTCCTCTCCTCGCTGCCTTTCCCGAGCATCCTCGGGGTTGCCGGCTGACGGATGAGGGGTTCGGCTTCCCCTTTCCCGTGGCTGTGGCCATTTTGTCCTGAAAAACCTTGCCTCCGGCTTCGGGTTGTCTTGATTTTTGATTTTTTTTATTATTTTAATGTGCGTGCTTGGTAGCCCCTCGGCATCCCTGCCCTGTGGCCGGGCTCCAGCACCAGCGGGGATTTCGTTGCTGGCACGGAGATTTCTCCTGGGGGCACCGGCGGGTTTTGGGGAGGGGGAGCCCCTTGGCTCCCCCCTGGGGGTGCTGAGGGGGGGGCTCGGCAATGACCTTGGGCACCGGGGGGGTTTCCAACTCCTCTCCCTTGTCGCCATGTTCTGGCTGCTCTGCGGAAAGGCCGGGGGCTGCGGGGGGGACCCAGACGTGGGAACCCCCTTTTTTGGGGGGGGTCTTGGGGTGCGCAGCGAGGCAAGGCTGCAGCCATCACCGGCACCTGGCAGGAGGAAAAGGCTCCGGAGCCCCCCAGCCTGGCTGGGGGCTGGCAGTGCCCCCCCGGGCTAACGCCACCGATGGGGTAGGGGGCCAGCAGCGCCTTTGTGCAGCCAGGGGAGCATTTTTGGGGCCCCCCCGTTTTACCTACGGGGCGCCTCGTGAGATCAAACCCCTCATCTTGATAACCTGCATGGTGCCAGCTCGGCTCCTCGAGGCTCCCCGGAGCCCAGCGGTGACCTTGGTGCACGCGGACGGGCCCCGTCCCCCCCCCCCCCCCCCCCGGTGGCTTCTCGGCCTCCCTTCTGCTCCCCTCGCCCTTTGCCAGCTCCCTGCTGCTGCGAGCTGTGTCACCGTGCCACCCGGGGGGGGGCAGCCCCCACAGGGGGCAAAATGACCTTGGCGCTGCCAAGGCCACGGCTCGGCTCCTTCCAGCGCCTTCAGGAGCCAACCGGGGGGGCTCCCCAGGATGGGATTTTTTTTGCTCCCCACCAAGCCGGGGAACAGAGGGCGGTGGGCGTCCGAGGGAATTGAGGCTGCCTGGAGGTCCCTGCCCGGCTTCATTCAGAAATCAGCTCAGGAAAAGGGGGGGGGGGGGAATGAGGGAATAAGGGGGGGGCTGTGGCGTGCCGCAGCGCCGGCACCGCACCGTCCCCGGGTGCCTGCGCAGAGCCGGCGTGGGCGCCCACCCCGGGGGGAGCGCTGCTGACGGCCCCGGCTATTTTGGAAGGGCTAATTTTAGCTC